CCAAAGCTCTCAACGCTGAGCCTCATGGTGGACAGTTAACACCTTGCGCGCACGATCGAATGAATAACTTACACATATTTTTGTTTTTGACCGTGCGAATTCATAGACATAAAGGTTATGAGTTCTTGATTTTGTTGTGACCATACCACCCTTTAGGTTGAGGAACTTCGAAAGAGTGAAACCCAAACCCTGATTCTTGGGATTAATCAGAAGCTAAAACAAGGATATGTTCAAGGATATGTATTAATGAGCATCAAGTCAATTACGAGAGTGAAAGAGTGCATGGGCTGTTGCGGCATCACAACTCGGTATTTTTGTGTCCGAGTAGTGGGGATCAGGTCGATCTGTAGGTTGCATTTTCGAATCCTTAGATGGCTACATAAATTCCTCGATCCTTCTTATTCTGTCATTTTCAGCTGAGCTTGGTTTCTTTCCTCAATAACTGGCAGGATATTATTAAGAAGGATTTACTATCTTTTTATTTATTCCCCCCCCAATCATTTGAACAGGAAAATCCGTGGTTGATTTACCAATCAAATGTGGCAGCCTTAACTAGTGCCTTGACTTAGTTTCCCCGTTACTCCTAGCCAGTTCAAGAGCGATGCATTTGGTTCATTAAAAGAACCTCGTTCGTCAGGTGCAAGCTAGGTTCAAGTGAAACTTCAAATGAGGTTGAATCCATGGCGAATATCTATCGCACTCATGTGATTGTTTTCCTTAGACTGAATCTTACCGAAGTGTGTTTCCCCTCCACGCCTCAGGTCTAATTGAAGTCTGTTCAGAGCGTGGAAGTTCCCCGGAGGTGACAATAGCCGAGGCGGATATGCAAGCGAAAGTCTCTGAAGCACCAACTTATTGGTCAGACGAGGAACGGGACGCAATTCAGACGGCGATTCATGTGGAAACCGGTACCCTTGGAAAAGAAATATCTGATAGCGAAAACGCTATTCAGGAAAGTAAGCCGTTCCCCCTGTTCCCTTTCCAGTCTTAATGTCAGTATAATTTTCACCCCAACGGAACTACCATAAACTACTTGACCGTGAATTTCAAAGCTGCCTTTCGTTTTGAACAAAATGCGATACCTAAAGTTGCTAACAACCGTCTTGTTTAATTTTACGTTGTCGATCCGGATTCATAGACTGGAGTCTGCACTATTCTCCTATGGATACAAAATTACCCTACGAAATCTTGCATCAGTTAATTTCATGTCAGAATAGAAATTGCAAGGAAAATGAAAATAGTTCGAAGTTAAATGACGCGGATTGATACACTAACTATCTTAGTGGACGGATCATGAATCAGAGGAGATTTGATTTGATTCGACTGTTGATCACCGAAATGATAATGCTCCATTTTTTGCCCTATAATTGATACTTAAGAGTGAAACTTGGGAAAGGCTGGCAAAGGACACTCAGAAGCTAGAAATTTGGACGGCGGTGGAAAGATGCAAACTCTGGGTTCATATGCCATGATATTGATCTGCATCGATTGATGATCACCGCTCGCACATGAACAAGAATAAATCATTGGATGCGTTAGACAACCCAAGATTGCAAAACACTAGACTGGATTCGGAACCAGATTTACTGGACTTATCGAGTGAGAAAAAGTACCTACCTATCTGTTATAAATGAGGGTATTTCTCTAAAAAAGTCATTCGAATATCAAACAGTTTCAAATTATATAGAACACTAATGTTAATTAGCGAGTTTACGTTAGAAAGAAAGCGAGGTGTTTATGTAATCGCAAGAGCAAAAGCCCATCATGTCAATGATGCAATTGTTTGTAGAATAAGAAAAATCCAATCTAAACAACTTTGCCGGGCAAATTATACTGAAACAAAAAACATAAAAATTATCTTGAAGATCGGGAGCCGAAAAATAAACTCCTTTTTACTGCGAATATTTAATTAATTGTTCATGAGAGAATACACGTCAGGGCTTAATCGACAAACTGGATGCGATGATTTTCATAGTTAACCAAGAATGGTTTGAGAGGAGAGAAATAAGTGGAGAACTGAGCTCATAAGGATGATATTACATGATTGCGGTAATTGTGTGTACACGCCTGTGGCGGAGAAGAAGGATCTCATTCGCTCGGACCTTTTAGTCAACCTTCCGTTGATCGTATTGAATTTTTCAACTCGGAACCATCATTTTACTGCTTCAGGTAGCTAATAGGAAGTACTGGATATATGAATGTCTTACATACATACAGTTGCCTGAGGTTCAGTTACTTGATGACCATTTGGGCGGAAAGGCACAATAAGAGGGCAAAGGAGAAAAGCATCATAACTGTATCTGACCTGTTTTCTTCCATCCAAATAGAGACTGGAAATTTGATTTATTTAGGGATTGTCAATAAGATTCGTATATTTTTGAATAGTCGGGAATGGTGGAAACCAATAGAAGAGCCACGTCAAGATATTTCACAAACTGGGTTTAATTTACTTTTGTCTAGAGTAAAAAATGGCGACACAACAATAACCATTTGGACCCCCTGTGCTGTTTTCATAGGCAAGCTGAACAAACATCAGGTTTTAGGGTAGGGATATTGACGTATTTCGAAGAAGACAACCTGACCTCGCCGCAGACATTGCGGCAGTAAGCAATTTAGAATAACTGTTTGCGTCTTGGGAATGTCTGAACAGCTGCCGATGACATCTAACTGTTAAATACTTGCCTTCGCCCGCCACTATCAGTGGCGTTGAAATTTGCGGGTGGATGCCGACAGGTTGTCTGAAACATAATATTNATATTTAAGAGTCAAATATTTTGGACATCAAAAATATGCACATATTAGCAAACTGTTGGATGTGGTTCGGACCTGAGAAGCGCCAGCAACAAGTTGGGACTGCTAATTTTAAACGCTAGTGCAAATCTATGAAATTCGAATAAGCTAACTTTAGATTTCTTCGCAAATCCGCCTTCCTCGCCACACTGCCGTCGAACAGCCAGGTTGGATCATAAGAAATTTTATTCAGCATAACAAATTGAAATAATATTTTCATACTGAATGTTAATGTGGATGTATTATGATTGAAAGGCACCTGCAGCTATAAAACTGCTGGAAAACGTTCAGTCCCTTCGTTATTCTGAATGAGATGGTAATGAATGTTTTTATTTGTAATTTCATTCACTGCAGGATTTTTGCATATTTTAGCTGTTGTTCTCAGACAAGGGAATCTACCTTAATGTGGATTCCCCCAGGTACTTCTGGAGGTTTATATGAATTAGGATATCCTCGAAAATTAACTTTATGTCATCTGTAAAGCCACAGCAAGGTACTCTGAAAATATCTTGTGACCGTATGACTAAACGGCACAATTGATCACAGTAAATCAGTTTATTCAAGGCTCTAGGGAAAACTACTCAGTATGCACCTTGGAATATGAAAAATCACACAAGCTCATCTTGGCCAGGGAAAGCTGTTCAGAGATCAGGCATCGTTGTATCTATGCGAATGTGTTGTTCAGATAGATGGCGCGAATCTTCTTGAATAAGGCCGTTATATGATTAAGGAAATCAGGCACGACAAGCAGGCTGGCAAAGCTCACATACACAGATGTTTACTAAGATCGGGGAAGGTTTGAGCACTGGAGTGTCTAATAAAATGTATTCAGTAAAGAAAATTTCATTTAGGCATATTAGCATACGGACGTTTTGACCAAAAAATCGCCATAGCGCTGGAAGGCACTACTCAAGCCGGAGTTGAATCAGTGATTTTAAAATTATTGAAATGCCTAACTACATTGATCACTACTACGCTTTGATCTAGTTCCTAGATTCTCCCTTTTTCACATCACACCTCTGGACTATCATTCTTCGTAGGTCAATAACGAAAAATGTAGACAAACATCATCCAGATGAGCTCTGAAAACATTAAGCTGTCCCGGTTGACATAACAACATAGGGTAAATGCCAATTCTGATTGTGCGTAACTTTTAATTCTGCTCATTTCTTATTCTATGCCCCTGCAGATCAAACTTCCACATCCGTGGAGTCTCTGACAAATTACGACCTTACAACGACTTCAGTAATCAAATCGTTCAATCCACCGAATGATGCAACGACGACATGTTTCTCAGTACCAGCGAATCACCGCACACCGCAGCGAATTTCGCCCAGCAGTCCGGTAACAAAGAACAAATCCGCGTAAGTTTCATCTTTACACATGTGAACAATCCCCTCTTTTTTAAGAGATCAATAATGGATGTATTCCATCGGATTTCGTTCAGATTTCCGCGAAATTGAAAACTATGCCATTGATCATTTAGAGGTCGAAATTCTATGAGTGGCATCATCTCTTGGCGAATATACTCTCTTCAGTTTTGCTGCACCATGCTCTACATCGCGAGTGTTCTACTCAAATCTGTTACAATACTGTAGCAATCTAAATTGTATTGAATATACGAATACGAGAACCCATACTGTAATACTCAGAACTGGATTGGCTCCAACCTGGACTACGCACACGAATGAAATACACGGAGTTTTGTTAGCAGCAAGTGCCAAATCGATCTTGGAAACATACTGACAACCATGCGATGACTTCATGAAATCCTCTGGTTCCATGGTGGTAGCTGCATATCTCCGCAGTCGGAGATTCAAGGTTCGTCGATAGTCTCCACAAATCCTTGGTGTTCTACCATCACGTTTCATCGCCACGACCATCGGAGTCGCCCAGGCACTGGATTCAGCTTAGTTTATCACAAATACATCCTACGTATTCCCCTTTTTATTACTGGCGTACGGGACTTGCTCCTCTAAAAAGTTTTAGTGTTAATGACCTTGACAGTGTTCAATCTACAATATATGAAACGCATTTAACATCCCGAAAGAGATTGCAAGACCACTATACGGGGTAGTCACTCGACAGACGACCTGATTGCTCGTGTGATGTAACCACCCCCCCCCCCCNGGTGCCCATCCCAGTGAGGAATTATCTAATATTTGGTACTCCAACTCATAATCTAGGTGACCGGTTTTAACAAGGGATTTTAATAAGGGGACTTTCTCGTTCTACCGTTGATCACGCTCAAGTGTGAAATGAAAAACCCGTATTATAGCAAAACAGGATGAATTTAAGATACACGTCTGCCTCATTTCGGTCCAGTATTGAATACAGTTCTTACCACACCATAACTCGTGAACCCTCAATCCGGAAGATCTATGTAAATCTGTTATTGTGCTAATGTGGGATGGTTCAGTCTTTATGAGGCTCTGTGAGGAGAGCTGTATAATGACGGATCCATCTCCTACAGACACAAGGTTTTGTTCGGATTGTGTTTTACCAGCGAACAGATTTATCCCAGGTTCAGTTAGTAAGCCAAAGCGATGGAGTTCACAGTGAGTTTCCACTCTGCTTACATTCTCTCCCATGAAACATTTCATAACTCTGTAGACGACACTGAATCGCGGCAATAGCGGCCCATCATTATATAAGGCAGTTGCATTATCGTGTTCCATTGGTTCAATATGGTATTTCGGAGGAGGTAAATGCATGGTTGTAGTATTCGGAATAGGAATCGTAAGCGACTAACGCGAACACGGACTCAGACTGAATGATGCAGAGTCGGGCAGAACCGATATAAGCTAAAGATAGTCGATTGTTTTCATCAAATTACGCAAATAAATATCACAAGTGTCAAACAATCACTTGCCCACTCTTCGATGTCCAAATCCGATTGTTTCTACCTGAGACCACAAAATTGGTCGGGAAGTGCGTCCCCTGATTGACTACTTGGAAGCTGTATCGTGGCGCGTGCGTACTAGTTGCACGATCCCCACAGTCGTACAGTAGGTAGTTCATCTGTCTCCTTAAAATGTTGCAGCTGTCTTTTAGACTGAGCCCCAGTTTGAAAAGGCGAATGTTCCCCGAAATGAGTTTGTTATCCTCTATCATTGAATCTTTCTGGATGTTTGCCAAACCATGTTTTCTCATCAGCTTAAAAGGCGATAACAGTGGGCCTCCGGAAATTCCTGTAGGAGATAGTCGCATGACACGAAGTCAGCAGGTCATTTTAAACATAATACAGGTGAGTGCAATGGTGATCACTGGAAGGTATATGATCGATTTTTCGGAGTCATCTGAAGCCACATCTTCTCTCACTCCGGGTAAAACAAGGTCTTAGTTAATACCGCGAATATGTTTGCCAAAGCTCACTCTACTCCCATGGTTCGCTGTTTAACACAGTGTTTATCAACCAGTAATTACATTTTGGTTCATGTAGGCCATCTGAAACGATGAAAGGATCAACCGAATCGTCACATGCGAAAAAAGTGTCCACTATTGTCACGAAGACTATACGGACAAGGAGTAGCAAGTCACTCACGAATGGGGAACGGGGTCGATCAAATCTGGATAACGAACCTGTCCGAATAGATGTGGATGAAAGTGGGACGTTGATGAAAGCAATACAATTGAAGTCCCAACAATTCCTGTATGACATTGTGCCAAGACCACGTGGGGGTTCATTGGATCGTATCAAAGCTTTCCGATCCAAGGAATCGATCAATTCGGATGAAGACGAAACGGTAAGCGTATCATCTAAATTTGTTAGAAGTTCCATTAAGTATTTTCAAACCTTTTTTAGAAATTGCATTTACTAGTGAGTAGTTGTGTTATGAACCTTCATTGATCATCCTTCGTGTGCAATCCTCAACTCATTCACTCGTACACTTGGAAAGTACTTAATTCGAGTTTCACTCTTCTCAGAGCGTATCAGTAGTGCATGTTCAACATTCCCTTCTGGATTTGAACCTCAGACCCCTCAAACGTGTCTATCCACCGTGCCAGCTGATATAAGTCCAACTTTTACTCTCCTAAGTGGTTCGATTAATAATGCGTGAAATAGTTTTTGAAATTCAAACTCTTAAATGCTCTTCATAGTAATATGAACCTATAACATGTACTGAGGAGAGATGGTTAACTATAAGTCCAGAATTTGGGATGGTGAATCACACGAGATCCCAGTAAGAAAGCCATGATGCTACCCAAGGAAACAGTAGAACCGAATACCACATCGAATGCATTAGAGGAGATTCGAACTTAAACGTGGAAGCTGTCCAGGATTTTATCAGTTGTATGGCGTTGAAAAAGCGTGTATAAAATCCGCCAACGCAATAGGAACACCAAACTAGTGCAAGATGCCGTGTGTAACCAGCAGCGATGTTTTGAATATATACTCTCAAGGCGATCATCGTTACTGTGCGATTCTCTTGACTAATCCGACAACAGTGGTTGTCATTGGCCAGATTTATGAGAAGAAAAACAATTGACGCAGTCCAATTAACAAGTCTTTCCCCTTAGCATGTTGGAAAATGCTGTTGGCACTTTTACAAATTTTATCTGAAACATCGATGAACACATATCTACTCAACTCTTCCTAATGATTTTTTCCATTTGAACCTTAGCAACTTATTGGACTTCCTCCAGCTCGTGAACAAATCACTCCTCGTGCCGCGTCTTCATGCGGAACGGAAGCCAGGCTGGGAACACCGCGCCAAGATGGAAGTCAAACATGTCCAGATGTGCTAAAGATGCGCTGTGATCTGTTGCAAACACATTTGGCTTTGTTGGAAGCGCGTAAGCAATCTATGGAAAGTTCCATTTGCCGCTTAGATGATGAGCTTAAGCAAAAACAACAAACACTGTTCGTCGAACCCTCGCCCAGGTTGCCTGTCATCATGGAAGATTCAGATGACACTAAAGAGGCTGTTCTGAAGCGCCAAGTGAGTCTATCGGTTTGCAACAGACAATCAAGCACTTTCGTGTTCCATTTAATGGTTGCGATGGAAAGATAGATACGTAAATAAACTGACACACAAGAGCATCAATTCAAAATTATCATACCTTTGAATTCACATTGGACAAAACGAGAGTCCTCCTCCTTCATTACCATATGTTTTTCGACCAACATTGTAATTTCTGGAGTCAGCTCGTTTTCATTTGGAAATTTGGACTTTTATTCGCATTGTTTCGACGTGAACAGTCAGTCACCGCGAGTACTTTTACAACCCGTCACCTTATTGGATGAAACGTCATTGTAACAAATAAAAGATGACGAGAACAACTATGCTAACCTTAACCCCTGATTTGTGCTGAAAATAGCCACCTGATACAGAACTTTTTGATCAAAGAGCATCCACTCTGACTCTGGTTCTGATTACCCGGCGCCCCGTTTCAAAAAACGGTTTGGTTCGATTCACAACAGACTTCAATTGATAAACACACCTCCGATCATCCATTCGCGTCGACCCCCTGACATTCCAACTTGATTAGGTTGGATATTGATGGAACCTGAAAGATTTCGGTGTATCGCGGGAAGAGGAAATTCGGTCTAAGGTGTAATAGAACGCGAATTAATAGTTGCCCAGGGGCAGCGTACTTCATTTTGGTTTTGATAGACAACAATCTGGAAATGCCGGTATTCGAACTGTAAACCCTCGATAACCCTTATCCTGACCTCTCAGTTAACCAGACTGATCACCAACAGCTTTAGCTTATGGCAACATTGAGGACGGATATTATTTTCACGAGTGCGGATCTACCCAAAGTTGTTTCTTTTTCGCTCACAAGAGAACCGCGACAGTCCAGAGCTCGTATCTTGTTCATAATTCGTAGCAGACTTATTTTATTGCACCCCGTATGATGAACAGCAGCCCAGGCGGATCTCATAATTACGAAGACCTGCCGTTCAATGATCGCACTGTACCAAACTGATGAACCATTATGGACTGAGTGAAAAGCAGTATCTACAAAGACAATTGTTGTGATGTGCCTCGAGTCAGGGACCATGTTGATTGGAAAATTTCTATCTGCGAAATTCACACCACATATCAGTGGAGAACCACATCTCTCAAAAGTTCAACTCGAGAAATACAACTCGTTTATACACAACCGATGTGATCCACATTTAGAGACACCAAGATTGTAAAAACTGAGTTTTTTATCCCCTCCGCTGTTTAATATATTGAACACGATAATGATTTTGTCCTTCGATTATCTGAGGGCACTGATCTCTTTTTCCTGCGTTGTTCACGTGCTGATCCCAAATTGATCGGCGGCACATGTTTACTGCTTCCATTAGGCTTTTTTCAGCTTCAAGAAAATCACTATTGTTCGCTTGAGGATACCCAGCAAACCTTGATCGTGAGTTCATCGAGGAATTGTCTTCCGTGCCGGGATAATCCTTTAGCCCGGACATGTTTGGACTGCTCAGAATATTATGAATAGCCCAAGAAAAGCTGCACATTTTCCAAGGATTTAGGAAAATTGTACTTTCTTATCTGTTATCGGGAACACTTTTTTCTCCTCGATCCAGTTGAGTAAGAGAAGTGTGCAATACGAGCAGGATTGCTATTGGTTATTAACTTCGCGTACTCTCAATCACGTTTTGCGTACATTAGAAGAATAGTACCATAACTGGACAACTACATGATTGCAGTGTTCATTATTGAGATTCTTCTCTTATTCCATTCTAAACAGATCCGTATCGCCTGTTATGATTCTCCTTCTATAACCCAGAACTCGGTGTAGTGAACCAAGTTTGGCAGTATGACGTCATCTTGATGCAGTAGGAAATAAGTAGGTTTTACTTAACGGGTTGACTGTAGGTGAAGCCGTTTTTATATGTGGGTATCCGGGATGGAGTGGATCACATTTTACCCCGATCGACTACTTGAAGGATTTTACTGGGGTTAGATTAAAATCATTTTATTTATGTGTGTTTCTTCCCCATGTGGCGATGGGTCAAAGCACTAGATTACCAAGGTGTTTGAGATTGGTCCTTAAACATTGTTGTAAACGGAGTTTAGCTAACAAGCTTATTTTCGGTAACTCAGCAACTGGCTAATGTGCCACATTTCATATAACATGATTTTGTTTGGAAATCAGAAAACAAAATAAATGATGACTCATCTGGGGATTGTTGTTGTTTTCTGTTTCAGTTTCATAAAACCGGATATGGCTGATCCTACCATTGGAACTAACGCTTGGTCCATGTTACATGTGTGATTTCGGGGGGTGGGAT